GAGGGGTCTCGATGGGCTTCGCGATTCGGCAACATCGAAGGACCAAACTGTGCTCAACTGTTGGATTCTTTACGGTCTGACCAATCTGTCTTACCGATAGGTCTAGGACAAAGCAACTATACACAAACCGTATCGATCTCCTGGGTGGACGGGAGGTTCTAGTTTCGCCTGTCTAACACACCCTTTTTGCCAGACTGCTGATGCAACAGGCACAGATTGTGGGCTCCTCCATTCCAGAAATCATGGTTCATCAGCGTCTACTTATAACAACTCTCGCCTGCAGCGAGGTTTGGCAATGTACAAGTTGTACCTCGTCTGCCAGCTGGCACAAATCCGTCCTAAACGTAACACTTTAGTGGCCTAAGTGAAACACCAGACTCACAGAAAACATGAAATTGCGGAGGCTGCATCATTTTCTACTTCCAGAGAGATGCAATTCAATCGACACTAATTATTTTCAACGGGACCGTCGGAAAATCAAACTGACTCGAGATATGTGAATGAGGAAGTCTAGCAACTCCGCGATTAAAAATATTTTCTACAAGCAGCAGGGAGTACTGACAAAGACATGGGAGACTGGTATGGCCATTTTTGGCCTATTAGCAATCGTCAACCAGCTACACCCAACCGCCGGCCAGCATTATTAGGGATTCGAACGAGTTTTTTAGTCACTGGATGTTAATTTGTTAAACATTCTGTCGATGAGCCACGGACTCGTTGCCCTTTCGATTGTGATTTGGAATAATCACTAACACAAGAAGGGCGTTCACCGACTGGGTAGCGGAACGTGCTCGTCATATTGCGTCTGTTACGGTATATTACTATAAATCCAAGTTCGAACTCCTAGCCATTCAGAGCTGGGGTTGGATATGGCTGATCAATGACGCTTCGTAAGCCACAAACTGCCGCCATCATTTGTCAGTACCCCCTCTCCGCATATATCATTGGTCGATCCGCGACTGGCTGGGGGGTCTTAATTGAGTTCGAAGGTGCGACGAGACGAGCACCTTCTGTAACCTGGCCAGTGAACGCCCTTCCTGTGACAGAAGTAGTTCCGTTACCATGTCTACGAAAATATGAACCTTATTAGAGAAGAAAAGCTGTGTCCTCGGCTGAGTGAGCCTCATTTTTTCGGCAGCTGTAATAAAACATTTGCTCCAAGTAATTGGCCTGGTTGACACCTCGTCAGGGGGAGCCGAAATTTAGTTGTCAATAACTTTCGAATATTTACTATATTCAACCTCTGCGTGTGGTGTGGACAATGCCGACTACCTCCAGGTGGTTTCCTCGCCGGGCAACGAACAAGAACTAAGTTAGCGAAATTTAGTCATTTTGGGTTTCGAATGGGGAGGGCGGGACGTACCTGTTCGCTGAGAGAAAGTAACTCGCCTTTGTGGAGAAACCATTGGCCTTCGATGTTGCCTGTTGCAGAAAACGCCCAGCATGATCCACAGTTACCCTGATTTTTTACTTCAGAGACTGCACCCTTGTCACGCCAGTCGAAACTATCCGGAATGTTTACGCTTGAATAGGTGGTTATTTTGTCAGACGGCCGGTTTGACAGATCGACGGGCTGGTTGAGATAAATTCTTGCAAATTCAGACTCTAAGAAAGTGTCAAATAGGTCGCATAGGGACTTACGTGTATAGTGGAAAAACTCCGTGACACCGTACTCGGCTGTTCCCTGATCGTAGTACTGCAGAAGAATGGCTTTCAAGTAATTCTCACAGAATGTGGAATAACGATAATCATCTACAACCAAGGTAACGATGAAAGTGCAGTTGAACCTTCTGTGCCAAATGTTTTGTTAAATTTGGTTTTGAAGCGTTGAAATTCCTCCGTCAAGTCGATGGGCAGGCTAGCACCGAGATACTTGGAAAACAAAGTAGATGGACTCAGAAGAGGAACTTACCGTATGAGGCCATTTCGGTTCTTCGGTCTCATAGGGTGTGCACTGTGACACACTTTCTGGAAAACTCAACAGCTCGCCTTCTCGCGTCCGTGGACAATCCGCAAACTGTGGTAACAAAGTTGGTCACAGTGAAAACAGAGAACCTGGAGACTTTTGACGGCGCATGTGTCACTGCTTGGCCGATGCGGATCTTTACAAAGCAGAGTCAAAACCTGTACTTTTAATGGACGATTTCTAGGCGCCAGCAACTACGAAGGTGTCGCAAATAAGGATAGTCACATACCCGAAAAACAGGCTCATTAGAAAAAAACAGACGGACTGAGACCTTTTCTGGTGGCAGCTGGAAAGAATCCAGTTTATCATGGGGCGCATGTGGTGGTCTAGTAAATCCACATGGAGGAGAGGTATTCCGTAACAGCAGGAATGATAAGAAGAAGAAGAGAACGCAGATCACAGGAACGATCAGGGCTCTTTGTGTGGTTTCAATCATTCCTTCTGAAACAAAAAGACATAGAATAAAACCTCAATCGAGAAAGAGAGGCAGAAGATGAAAGGGACTACATAGAGTGGTACCGGAAACAAATGTCTATGGTTGGAATTGGTATTGAGATGATAAAAGTAGGTTTTTTTCACGACAACTGTGAAAAGAATCAACTGGCCTTGCCCTGCCCTTCAAACTGCATCTTTATATTAATAATGCACAGATTTTTAACGAATTTCGCCACTGGCTCGTTACTATCGTCTGCGGAATAACGAATTGTTTTTTTGCACATGCATCTGCCCAGAAACGAAATCAGGAGATCCAAATCGGGAGAAGATGAATGGGCAGCAGGGAAGAAGTACAAAGAAGTCGGGTGTTGAGAAGGTTGCCAGACAGCGAAGACGGGTAAACGCCAGCGTCCGATTGCGACAAGAAGTGTTACAATGTCGAGTGTGTGTTGCGGTCGTCACGGGTTAGCAAAGGCTGCCACCTTCAGTGGCATGTAGATCTTTGTGCATTAGGGTCGAAGAAAGGTGAGTGAGTGAACAGCTCGTAACAGAAATATCATCCAAATGTTTTAACGTATCTAGATGCCCGTAAGCAGAAGTCAATTTAAAATCACCTCAGAATTATCGGGCACAAACACCCATGCAAATAAGACTAATTACTGGGGTATGTTATAAGCATACGTGAGCATAGCCAGAATAAATGTGCAGATAAAATTAAAAAAACAGAAACAGAAAGGGAATTCTGCAGGATTGGGAGTATGCGCCGAAATGCCTGAAACACTGAGTAGAATACACAAGTATTTTTTTTCTTCTAAGACAGGGAGTCCTGTTTTAGGTAAGGCAACGAAGCCGATTAGCATAAAAATGATTACGGTAATAAGTCGGTCTTTGGTTGAGCATACATCCACTTGCCTGCGCGAACCACACCTAAGAATAACTGCTGTTTTGGTACTGTGCCTTTCAATTTTTAGAAATAGAGACGTACTTTATAGGAGAATTAAGAAAAGAACGCTTCGCTTACTCATTTCGTGCAAAATTACGTCCCCTTAAATATACCACTTGAAGGAAGGGAGGGCAATAAACCCTCGCCATATCGCACTTCCACTTTCACGGCCTCGCCCTATCACCGATTTTATATGCAGGCCCATATATATATATATATATATATATATATATATCAATAAAAGTGAAGATTCGAGGTCCAGATAGATTATCCCGTTCATCATCCTCAAAAGAAGACGAAGAAAAAGAGGCGATACCATGGACCATACTGTATTTATGCTGACGTTTCGGAAACATCCTCGTTTCCATCATCAGAGTAGTGGTAGGGTGTTTGTTCCTGCTAACTCGGAGTTCTTCTGTCTCGCCGCCTGTCTCGTGTTATAGGCATGCCTGTTACACGAACTCTGACCTGCTTGCTGGCGGGGGATTGGCTTAGGTCTCTCCGTGGCCGATCGCTGGAAGTTTCCGAAACGTCAGCAGAAATACTGTGTGGTCCATGGCATCGCCTCCTTTTTTTCTACGTCTTATTTTGGGGATGATGAACGAGATACATATATGTATCCAGCGAATTTTTCGCTGGTTCAAGGATTTCTGTGGATAATGGACCATTCTCTATTTCTGGCATATGCTTCCTCAGTTGGTTTCTCCAAATTATTCCATGAAGCTTACCTAATATCAAGTAGAATATAAAGGGTTATGCTATATAATTTAGGGCAAGGTGATACCATAATAACAGCACAGGTACTAGCCAAAAGGCCATACACGCGTGGTTCGCCGATGTTTTGCCGCTGCATGGCGCAGTTGCGAGGGGTTCGGCTTGTCAGTGGGTCCCCCGGCATTTCCCGTGCTTTTTGCTGGTAGATACTCCAATTTAGAAATTGTCGCTTTTCAATTTCCTCGGAAATTATCTACCAAGTTGGTTGTGCTATATACCTATATATGAAATGTCCCTAAGGTCTTGAAACATGAAAATAACCAAAAAACACATGGCATTTACTTTGTGAATTTCTACTTTTTCGAGGGTTCTGGAAGGCCACTCCGGAAAATGTACGCGTTCTGCTATTCAAAATGATCCTGTTCAAGTATTATGGCAAACTGGCCGGCTGGATATCTCGGTGAATGCGCACAAACCTCAGTTTCTCGTGTAAGTCTCAGGGTTTAACGTAAAAATACTTCCATGCACATTTTGAAAAATGAGGCTAACTGACGGACTTTGTTCGTTCCCTAAGTGTAAGAATTAATTCAAGTCTGTTATGGGCGAAATAGTGCGACCATTTAACAGTACTGTTTTCGTAATTACGACAAGCTGTGGGCATGGAAAGCCATGCAATGCAGTGGGTTTTCTGTGAGAATGTAGTGGGCAGAGTGTGCTATCTGATGGGGGACTTATTATAGATAAGAATTATGGGAAAATCGGTTTTATTTCGTGTTTCCCACATGGTATACGAAGGCACCTACTAAACAGGCAATTGCAGAGAATATGGGTAAAAAGTATTCGTCCGACTGAGCGTCATCCTCGTGGGATAGTATCTTATCCTCCAGTTCCTACAGCTACACGGAAACTTGTTCTCCTGACGAAGAAGCTTGTTTCCCTCAAATGGCTTCATACACTAAGCTAGATGAATCTACACGGACACGGTCAAGTGATAGCCATCTAGAGGCCTCTCGAGAGGCATCGGAAGCTACTGTAAAAGAGGAGCTGCAGTTGTGGGCAGTACGTTCTCACATTCCGCTAGTCCATCTGACCAGTCTTCTGAAAATTATGAGAAGGCTGTCCCCGGATCTGCCTTAGGAAGCGTGAACGTTGCTGGGCGGGGGAAGCAATGGGGCGACGGTAACGGCAATGGGCAGTGGTGAGTACGTCCATTTTGGACTTGTAAAAAGGCTAACAAGCCAGTTAAGTGTCTCCTCCATGAATATAACTGGCGATGAGGTAGTTGCTTATTTAGCTATTGAGGGTTTACCTCTACATAGGAAAAGCAGACGTGAATTTTGGCCAATCGTAGGTAGAATAATGGCCTTTATAAAGCAAATTAAAAATGTCGATGCCTAATATAGCTGCGAAGGATGTTATGTAAGGGGTGATTAAGTTTACAAGGTAGTGTATGACAGCGCATCTGAACATACTAGGGCGACGACTGTCGCTGCATTGGCCTGTCGCCACTGCAGGCATACAATGTAGGAATGGTTAGCTCCTTCCCTTTAGACCCCCTTCATTTGGCATACCTAGGCGTTATGAGAAGGCTATTGGACTTGTGGTTGAAAAGTCCACGGGAAAAGGCCTTCCGGCTGTCAAATGCAGCAGTAAGTACAGTAAATGATAGAAATGATCTGAATTTACCCCTGCTACGTCAATTTTTCCATCGCGCGAGGTCTCTTAATGAAGCAGACACCTAGAAAGGATCGGAGCTTCGTCAGTTCCTACTCTACACAGGAGTAGTAGCGCCTAGAGGTATTCTTCCTAGCAAGTACTGGGAACATTTCCTGATGTTGTTTACAGCCATGCGTTGTCTCGCTCGCCCGCATCATTCAATTTCGTAATATGTCAAGCAACAATATAGATGCTTTCACGGTGTGGAACGCTGCGCGCAATTGCGACCAGCACCAATTGGAGAAGGCCTTCAGAAATGCCGTTAGGAAGGCCTATGATAGACTGCACAAACGAGATTCTAGGAAATCTACTTCACAATTTCCGGACGGTTAGTGATCTCTTTACAACGTTTAAACCCGTAATTCGTGTTCCGGTACCGCTAATCGACTCGCATACAATGTTTCAACTAACACTGCAATTAATATCGTCTTCTTTGATTTTAGACAACAACGATGACAGAAATAACAATGAAACAAACAATTCATCTCCTGGGCCCGCCGGTCCCTCATCACAGCCCTAAATTGGGTCCAATGTACATATTACATTTCTTCCTCTATTTTCTGTAAAGCTTCTTCGCAGTTTGTATTTTGTCTGTTTGGAGCTCCAAAAAAATCTCTATTTTGGAAGAAAAACTCAGACTTTTATGCTCTATTTAAGGGAAACTAAAATTGGGGAGAAGGGGAGAATAAACGGATAATAGTCGGGTAGGGGCTACAGTCGTATATATACGACTGTGACCTCCGAAAACACTTTTAGGATCTATCTTAAAAACTTTCGTTTGATGTATACAAAGTTAGTTCGGTCTTTTCGATGACATATGCTTATTAGTAATGGATTAGTTAAGCTAGGAGAGGCGTACAGCTGCTGAACGATAATGTGACAATCCAATTGAATTGAGCTTAAGCTCAATTTTAGCTTTTCCGACAGAATTTCAGTCTAGTAAAAGCGGGCGACACATTTCGAAGTTTCTTCGATGCGATGGCCTACAAGACCCAAAAGAAAAGACCCTAAAGAATTTAAAACACACATAATTCACAACAAAACAGAGAAATAAGATTTTGGATATTGGAAGAGTGTAATTATAAAAAGAGATGGGGGTCAGTCGTCAGACATTATGAGATTATGTCAATGATGGGGAGATAGAAAGTGCATGCTGGCTGCAGCCGGTCGTGGGGGGATGATTGATAACGGAAAGTATTTATCAGGCGGCCTCTGCCTGTTCGTCGACGTGTTACAGTGCTTGGAAATGTATCCCGAAATGAGACCATATGCTGATGAGGAGTCAGGCTTCCTAGGAAGGAGTTGTGTGCCTGGCAGTGTCCCATTAGTATCTGCTTGCTATCCACCAAACGAAGTAAATGAAGAAGACTTTGATCATAACAAAAATGCGTGGATGTGGCTGATGGAGGGTGGAATGAGCGAGTGTCATAACAAGGGCCTTCGATGGGATACCGAACACTCCCATACTCATGACTGAGGACGATTTGAATAAATTTGGAGAGAGTGAACGAATGGATTATATTCCAAACGCAGGAATCGATGACTCAAATGACTTCTTAGGGTCGGAACCACTGACAATGGAGGTGGACTGATGAGGTGATCGATGTCTTGTAGCGGCCGAGGTTGTCAAGCGTAGCACACACCAGAGTAAGGAAACGCCGAGAAGAGATCCTGGCAGAGGTAGACCTGAACAGAGCTGTTAACATTCTTGAAACTTGTTCACACGCAGAAGAAGAGAGTACGTGGAGTATGGGTATAGTGTAATGGAACAACATGATATGGAGAATGTATATAACAAATGTTAATGTACACGTGCAAAGAGGAACAGCGAATAGGTGACCTGTCTAGATGGATAGACGACCCTGCGATAATAGCTTAACAACCGGTGGGGATGCAGCGCTGTGGGCAACTGCAGGGAAGGGCCGAGGGAGGGCCGACGTTGAATGAGAGAGCGAGAAAAAGTCGAGAGCGGCGGGTCTTTGCGGGAAGGGGGTGGTCGGCGGCAGCTAGAGGAAGGGACACTGGCCGTCTTCGCCAGCACGCAGTTACGCCATCTCCATCCCAGGTCCGCGCGTCAAAAGTGTCACGACATTCAAACAACTCTGTTCTTGCCAAGGGGCGTTACAGTATGTCTCGCTTCGTCTGCCTCTTTCGCAATGCCTCCTATAAACCAAATTGTCTTAATCAACTTTCCGTTGCGTGTGTGGCGTGTAGCTTCCCCCTATATGTGAACTGAAGTGGTTTTTAGAGTTTTAACCTCGGAACGCCGGAATTTGATGTACTAAGATCGGTCTGAACTTATAAGCCTTGATCCCTTTTAGTTTCGTCGATTACAAAATGGACTATTTTAACCGTTTAGGCATTTAAAAAGGCGTATTTTTTTATCTCCTCACTGCTTTAAGACATCTTGACCACCGCAAAGCAACCGTCACCGTGAGATCTTGTGATTTCTTCTTCTTCTTCATCTTCTGCCAAGTACAGTGAAATATCGTCAGTTTTCCGTGAACACAATTGCAATCTGGAAGCAGTTGCCTAAGAACGCGAAAATTCCGCAAAATTGTTTCTTTGTTGGAGAGACCTTTTAGTCGTTCTTTTCATTGAAAAAAACGCCCTCAATTTTCAATGCTGAATCACCGAATAAGTCTTTTTTAATGTTGCAGTTCGTGGTCTTTTATCCCCCTAGCCAGTCTCATTCCATGAGAAATGGTGCCTATCTACAACCCGCAACACCGTGGACAATTTCATCAGCCGACAGTAAGTAAATGTTCTTCATTGCTTCTGGTTGGTCCAGTCCCAATTTCATTAAAAAGAATCGAAGTTAAAAATATCGGATAGAGTGCTAATAAGCCCTTCATGGGTTGGCGCCATTTCACGGGCAGCAGTTTTCTTCTCCTGGACCATCCGAACTAGCCCAAAACACTATCCTCTATATTTACTTCGTGAGTTTTTTCAGTGTTACTCTGATCTGTTCTCCTCCTCCTCCTCCTCCTCCTCCTCCTTCTCCCCCTCCTCCTCCTCCTCCTCCTCATTCTCCTCCACCACCACCACCACCAACACCACTACCACCACCACCACAACGGTTGCGATAAGCAATGACTAACCGCCGGGTCCTACCTCCACGCATTCCAGCACGTAGGTCATCTATTTACCCTAACTTACCAACATGCTCTTTTGTGTCTTTCGGTGTATATAGTGGTAGTAAGTCATTATAACGGCACTACGGCTGGCACATTTAGACCTTGTCGTGTAGAATAGAAATGGTTTATTACTGCGATCCTTGGGCACTGTCAGTTCTATTTGAACTCAAGAAAAAACATAAAGCAAACCCATTCATTTCGACTGCCCTTTGACTTCAAGCATTTTGGACAAGCATTTACAAATCACATTCGGAACATTCGTCCGGCCGCATTTGGAGTACGGCATACAAGCCTGGGAGTCCAGAGGAGAGCCACGAAGATGGTTAGGGGTCAAGACTCTTTTCCTTACGCAACACGCCTAGTAAATCTGAACCTCTTTCCTTTGAGTTACAGGCAACTTCGGGGGGATCTCTTGCAAGCCTTCCGCATTGTAAAGGGGTTGGAATGCAGTCTGGCCTTCGAGAACTTTTTGACTTTGCTACCACGACAAAACTCCGAGGTCACCCGTTAAAGCTGCGCACAAAGCAGACAAGGCTGGATGTGCGGAAGTTCTCCTTCTCTGTTCGAGTGGTCAAACCATGGAATGCACTTCCCGCATATGTTGTGATGTCACCATCTATAGAAAGTTTTAAAAAGAATCTTGACATATTTATGTTCCGAAATGACCAAGAGCGATCAGAATTAGAGCTCACGACTTGTAACTCGTTCTCATTTTGTCCTCTCATTATGGGCGTGTTTCTACTATTTAAACCCAGAACATTTATCTGTATATCGCACATTTTTTACGTTGCAAATAGGGTTCAAAAAGGCTTACGCCTATTTCCCTCAATAAACTGAACTGAACTGAAAAAAAATACTAAGTTGAGGTTGGCGGTCGTCGCCAACCACCATGACTGAGCACTTATAGGCGTCATGTGCGGCACCACTGGGCAAAAGCCTGTAGATCGCTCTTAAGGAGCTCAAGCACGATGTCATGATCTGCCGGCTTATATCGATATGCAACTTTAAGATCATCGGCATACATGAAAGGCTTACCATTCTGAAATAAATCGGGTACATCATTAACGAAAAGGCAAAATAAAAGTGGGCCGAGTACACTACCCTGAATGACTCCACTCCTCACACGTGGTGGGTTGGAGATGGTATTGGAAATCTTAACTCGTGTACGAGTGCCCAAATAAGAGGATATAAAATTCAAAAGTTTGCCACCTAGTCCGAAAGAGGACATTTTTAAGAAAAGAACAGTATGGTCAACACGATCAAAAGCCTTAGTGAAATCGAAATATACTGTGTAAAGTGCAAAACATTGTCCCTAGATTGGATACATGGTCAAAGAAAGAGAGCTGACAGGTGTCACAGGACCGAGCTTTGAGGAATCCATGTTGGTTATTCACTGTTAAGTGACACCCCATCTTATCTTTGACCAATGTCTCTAAGATCTTCGAAACTGCGGGGAGGGTGTTTATTGGCCGAAAGTCATCAAATGACGTGGATTTGCTGCGTTTAGGAATGGGCAAAATGTGTGATTCCTTCCACAAGGTAGGATAAGTTTCATTCTCAGGAGCAAGATAAAATATCTCGCATAAGAGGGATGGGAAAATCGTATTTGCATCGGCTTTTAAAATGCTTACTGGGACACCATCAGGGCCTGGACTATAAGATTGACGAAAACGCCGAATCGCAACAGTCACATCCCACAGAGTGAAAGTTATAGTTTCTGGGACTGCCCCAGTCAGTTCCTGGATGGTCAAGATCGGAGTGGTCGAGTCTTCAATAATCGTTTTGGACAGGAAATCATTGAAGCTATCCGCGGTTAACTGGGAAACAACTATGGGATTTCCGAGAGCGTCTCGGAGGGTGGGATGCTGCATCTTTCTGTGAGATCGTATTTTTCTAGAGAAAACTTTCGAGACACTTAACGAATGGTTTTCGGTAAATTGGACCTCCTCGGCTAGCTATTTTTCTTCAGACAATCTCTTGGCCCTCTCTAAATATCACAAATCAAGGGCAGGACAGAAACATCATTCTGAAGATGGAATCGACGATGAAGTCTGCGCAATCTGCGACGAAAGGGTAAGGGTAGGAAAACCTCATCCCCAACATTAATAATTTTCTTACGGAGACACGACGAGAAATAAGCCTATCCGAAATTTCGTACAGTTTTGCAATGCAAATATTTACATCCGAACTAAGTAAGAAATCAGTCCAGTCGTAGGAATTAAGGTGTGTTAATAATTCGTTTGAGCTAGTTGACCGGAAATCGTGGAAAAAGTTATACTTTGGGGACGACGTTTTGTCAGCCTCGAATTTCAACGTTGAAACAACTATATCATGGTCTGAGCCCCCGAGTTGGCCTAGGGATGACACTGTCGATGGCATAAAGCCTTTACAGAAAATCAGGTCAAATATGTTTTAGCCTCGGGTGGGAAAATCGACAACCTGAGTCCACTTCGCAACAGCCACAGCCTCAAGAAAGCCTTCGAACCTTCTGGGGCCTGAAGGCGGAGACCAGCGGACTTCGGGGAAATTAAAGTCACCCGTAACCAATTGATACTTAAAGCTTGAGTCGGCCGCAGCATGAAATGCCTGTGAGAGTAAACGATCAAAATTGTCGTTGGCGTTGGGAGGACGATAGACGCAGCCAACGAGTAAGGAGAACTTATTTTTTAGTGCAACCTGGAGCCAGCAGCTGCCTTCTACTGCGGAAAAATGCGGGAGGTCAAGCGGCAAAAATGTAAGTGTTTGCTTAACGTAGACGCAGCTGCCCCCACATCGGCTATCTTGGTGATCATTTCGAATGCAATCATAGCCTAGAACCGAGAGTTCGGAGTCAGCTACGGAGCCTGGCGCCCACGTCTCAATTTATAAAACCATGCCCGGACAATGGACGAACACCAGTCTGAAGTAAAGGCATCTTATTAAGCAAGGCTTGACTCCATACTCTTCCCGGCAGCTGCCGTGGAAAGGGAGCTGACAAATCTCAAAGAAGCAAAGTCCTCGGGTCCGGACAATATACCGGCCAAATTCTTGAAGGAACTGGCGAATGAACTTTCCAAACCACTGGCGCACATCTTCCGCTCGTCATTCGAATTAGGGAGGTTGCCATCGGAATGGAAGACAGCAAATATCTTTCCGATATACAAGGGCGGGGCTCGCACTAATGCTAACAATTACCGGCCTGTTAGTCTAACCTGCATCTGCTGTAAAATAATGGAGTCCATAGTTAAGAAAGCAACTATGGAGTTCCTGGAGCAGGGCCATTTAATCTCAGACCTGCAGCACGGCTTTAGACAGAACCGCTCGTGTCTTTCCAGTTTATTGCTCTCGACGGAGCAGTGGACTCGCGCACTGGATGAGGATGGGCGGGTTGATGTCATATACACAGACTTTAAGAAGGCGTTCGACAGCGTCCCACACAAACGCCTAATCTACAAACTTTCTGAAATTGGGATAAGAGGAACGCTGTTGACATGGATAACAGATTTTCTTACCGGGAGATCGCAAACCGTGTGCATTGAGGCCTCAAGGTCAACTCCTACTCCCGTTCTAAGTGGTGTACCCCAGGGCTCCGTCTTAGGGCCGTTGCTATACCTGGTTTACATTAACGACTGCGTCGACGACCTGGGATGCAGCGCCATCATGTTTGCTGACGATGTTAAGCTGTGGAGACCCATCAGATCTGATGCAGACAGGTACGCGCTTCAAGACAGTCTCAACCGCCTAAACAGTTGGTCAGGTCGCTGGCTCCTCAATTTTAATGTGGACAAATGTGTGGTCCTGAGACTCCGCACCAGACAGACCAGTAAGGAGGACAATTCCTTTCAATATGTCCTTGATGGTCAGTCCCTTTCAAATGTTGTGGAACAGAAAGACCTGGGAGTCCTAATGACCTCCTCGCTGAAACCATCTTCACAGTGTCAAAGGGCAGCCAAAAGTGCGATAAGGGTGTTATTTGCGCTGAGGCGAGGATTTGTGCAGATCGACAAGGAGCTGTTCGGAAAAACCTATGGGGCATTCGTCCGATCTCACTTAGAGTATGCAGTCTAGGCCTGGCGACCGTGGTTAAAGAAAGATTATCAACGACTGGAAAGAGTACAGGCGATGGCTACGAAGATGGTCAAGAATCTTCATCATTTGCCTTACGAAACCAGGCTGACTGAACTAAATCTGTTTCCTCTAAATTACAGGCAACTGCGCGGCGATCTCATTCAAACATACAGGATTGTCAGAAGCCGAGAGTGTGCCCTAGATTTTGATGAATTCTTTGAATTGGCCCGGACTGACCGTCTGCGTGGTCATCCGTTCAAACTGCAAAGGAAGAGGGCTCATTCGGACGTCCGACGGAACGCCTTCTCACACAGGGTCATCGGGGCATGGAATGGACTCCCTGATGCCGTCGTTCTTTCCGAAAGTGTTAAATCCTTTAAGTGCAGACTAGACGCTCACTTGTTGAGAACCTACTGTACATACAATCATGATTGTTTTAGCGGCGGTAGTTTGCGCCTGGCTCACACTTACCGCTAACTTCTTAACTTTTCGCATTTGCTGATGTAATTGATGACTTTATTTCTGTTTATCGACATGAATAGGGTGCTCAAGGGCGAAAGCCTCATTCCCTTAATAAACTGACTTAAACTGACTTAAGGATCTGGCATTTAAAACAAAAGGTTTGAGAGGGAAGGCTGTTTGTTTCTGAGGGAGGTGGGCTACGTCGTCCAGTGCTGAGCTGCACACGGAGCAAACCATCAGGCTGTACCATCCAGTTCTGCAAAAAATTTTGTGGCATTAAAAGATTCTGAGGTGGATAAAAACGATAGAACTTGGGGAGGAAATGACGAGCAGGTAAACTGGTAACCATTGTTAGCTAACTTATTTTCAGCTGGAAATCCGCCGGCCAGATACTACAATTAATTCTCGCCGGAACGAAGCTGAGGATCGGATGAGTTAACTGATTCAGTATGGGCATTAATATGAGGAATTCATTGGTAAAACGGTCGTGGTGGAAACAATTTTGGGGGTGGGGGGCGCATTGTTTCCATTGGAGCAAGAGTTCTATTAAACGGTGGGAAAATCGGCATATTCGGCCTAACTGCCTTGATATGAGGTCTGGGGACATTTGGGAACACGCTGCCTTTTGAGTCGGGGTGTTTGAGGCATTGTTAATCGATTGTGGAGGAATATATTTTATAATAGTGCTGGATTTTTCGGGTGTCAGAGTGGCTGAGACAGCAATAGGATTTGACTTTGACTTAGACACATGCGTATCGGAAATCCTGTGTTCCGAGTATACAGGGGTCGACGCTTCGGAAATCAGCCTGCCAGGAACCTTATCTTGTTTACACAACCACCCAGGACTTGAGGATCGTTCTTCTAATAAATCAGAACACAGACGGTTTCGTACAGCACACATCCTACACAATTTTGATAATAATAGGACAGATAACAAAAGCTTCAAGGTAGGAATATAAAGAAAAACTACACGGGTCGTAGCTTTACGATCCCATGAGAGGTGTGACATCAGATATACCCCTAAAGGTTTTCTACGCTCAAGTCTTCTTTCAGTGAAATAAAGTAGGGCAGGCGGATCTGCAGCAGTAGATGTTCGTCTCTATAGGCACCTGAAACAGCCTTTAGACACTTGCGGATGAGGCTATCATAAAAAACCATGCAGTTATGTGTTTTCACCCTTTGCTTGATAACGTCTTATTTAAAAGCTGCAATAACTATTTGGGGACGCTAGGACACCTACTGATGAGCGGGAGCCATCGCAACTGTATCATGCAGCGGAGGAATATCGGAGAAACACGGGTATGAGCTTTAAGCTCAGTATAAACGGTCAAGCAAAAATCCCACTTTCTGTTCATAACTAGCATATTATCTATTATTCCACTGCATTGTTAACTTGCGCAAGACCCACCGGGACCGTCCATAAAGTCTTCAGTCGACCACCCTAGAGAAACGACATAGATACCTTCATATGATGAACTTTCCTCCTTACGATTTAAATTAACATGATAGCAATATTATCGAGCACGTGCTTCGTATAAACATGATATTCTCCAGCATTTTGGTAGAATATCCGCCAAAAATATACTTCCGTCGTTTTCACCATGCCTGCATGTTTGAAGTCATTATAAAACTCCAGCGCTACAAACCTTTTTTGCCTACGTTGTGTCATCTCGACTCGCCGACACTGCAGAGATCCCTATTCAATATCGACAACCTATATCGAGGTATTTTAAAAAAATAACCATTGATGAAGGACTGATAGGGAAACGCTTCTGAAAGGATACCTAAGCCTCAATTATGATCAGTGGAATCTTAAACAGGGAGCTGAAACATAGGTGAACGTAGGTAGGTAATTAATAAAAGTCTTGAAATTACTGAAGTAAGAGTGAGTGTACCAGTAAATAAGTTGGGTTGCTAACATTTTCATTAGAGATACCCAGTTTCTTATGTCCAGTCAGGGCTGTCTCCCCGGCGTCTGCTGACTTTTGTGGTGCTGCCGCTTACAACACATCATAATTCCGTCAGTTTTCCCTTTTCACAGCGAAAGGAATAATTATATTTAGTTAACCTGACTCGCACTTGACTGGAACTTCTCTGAATCTCGTATTCAGAACCAAGGCTTAGGCGGGCTTTACTGTTTGCGGAAGTTCCTGTAGGAAATTTCCATATCCCAAAGCGCCTAAGGACCCCAACACATGCTCCGAAATTCATAAGCCTCTTATAAATAACTTCCCGATGCATATCTAGAATGTGCTAGTTTTCGGTTTGCTTACATTATTTCCACATATTTCACAAAAAGGCAATTATACATTCGGGAACGCCGGAATCCCGACTTAAGCGTACGCTTTAACCCCAGACGTGAAGTGTAAATGTCAATTGAAACTACAAAGAAAAGTTGATACAGGAAAGACTTAACGCCAAGTGGAGGATGCTACGTCATATACAAAGGAAAAATGATATCGAAGGAATGTGGGAAAACAGCAATGGTTAATTCGCCATCTACTAGTTGTCTGGTCGCATCTCCCTTTTCCAATCCTCGGCCGGACTCGAAGCTGAATGTAACCGATCGCATCTGAGTTTCCATGGCCTCGAGACTGGTTTTATATTTACCAATCTGAAGGGAATGGCCTCAGCCGGCATGTGAATTCTGCCTTGATGACGTCCGTTCCGAACCTTTTAATTAATACCACATGCAGGCCAGTGCTGCCTGGCTCGCCTATTTAACTTTTCATAAAATCCGTTATACACCGCCACATGCGGGCAGGACCTGCCAGCTTTTTTGCTTTCATGAGCGACATTTTTTTCTCCTATAATGTTAATCCAGTCATATTCATTTTGCTTATGTTACAAATTTTTTTCCCTCCTCGCTCATCATTTTTCATAACATACTACTTATTCAATAATTGTGAATTAAACGTTGCATAGATTCTGTATATCTGTTGTAAAATTTATGTAAAAAAGTTATTTTTACTTGCTATGCACATGGACCTACAGATCTGTAGTGTTCGAACACTACTTCGGCCGGAGTTTTTATTGGTGCCAAACGAGTTTCTGCAGACCCTGGGTAAATGCACTATGGTGTTTCAGTAAGTGTGATTTTTAAAATCATCTTAATCGTTGCTTGAAGTTGAGGACTAAATATTCTCGACGCCTGATTTACTCCCAATTACTCAATCTCGTTTTAACACCCTAAAGTGTTTCAAGACCGTTTGAATGGGTAGGTGTTGGCTCATACTAGTGTTCCGTGCTTCCCGCGATCTCATGTAGGCAGTTTGTTCCCAACCATTGTTTTGTTTTTTTTTCGTCATGGAAGATATTGACTGCCTCTTATACATATCGGAATTATACGCAACTGAAAGAAGCGATTTGTAGCAATAAATTCTAACCTCCGCGTCTTCTTCAGAACACATTTCGACTAGGAGGCAGTGAAAATATGTTGTAATATCTGAGAATTTCCGATTGGCTGTTGCTGTAACGAAAACCATTTGTTAATTTATCCACTGATGTTGTCCCTGATAACATATAACATGGATGCTGTCAGTTAAAACTGACCCGGGTGAAATTGCACACAGCATATAAGAAGTCGATATAGCAGCACAATAATAGCCAATGTTACAGCTGCTACTGTATTTCCATTCATATGTTAGTGCAGTTCTGTCGGGAGTCGAGGTTGGCAGCTTAAAGTAACACATTTTTTACGTATACAAGACTGGGGTTAGTGGCGGGATAAATGCTACAGCAATTCTGAAACTGTCTCAGATAATAACCTCAGTTGCTGTGCAAAATATGTAGTCGGAAATTACCCTGCAGATACTGTCACTGAATACGTGACGTTTATGATTTTTATCGTTGCCGGACATTTTTTGACAGTTTGCGCCTAAGTTGGCTGCGCATTCTTAGAAGAAGCGGACATTTAGGGGTAGTTAATGCGTATCCTACGGAATGCACAGATGAGGGCCTCAAGTTTTTACTTTGGTCATCCTTTCAAAGATCATTTGATATTCGTGCAAGCTCTAAGTAGATAAGTTTAGTCGATAAGAGGCTTTTGCTCTGCGACTTACTATCTGACCAAGACGATAACATTTCTAATTTGAGCCGCTTCAGCAGGTCTCTTTAGTTCCGTGGATGTAAAATCACATCTGACTGCCCAATCACTCTTATTTTACTTAACGTATACTGTGATTAAAATATACTCATGAAGGTGTTGCCTACCTCGTTATTTACCGCCTTATTCGTGTAGTTAACTGCTAGACTGGCCAATCAACTCAGTCCGTTTCACGACTAGACTGACGCAGTTTAAACCTTCAGAAAATGACCAACGGAACGTAAGTTTTGGAAAGAAGATTAACATATCGCGAGGCTTTGCCCAAGACGTAGGATTTATCGTCTAACTGATGGCCAATACATCGCAACCCTCCTCGCTAGGCATTGCAAAGCAAACTTTCGAAGTGCCTTCATTTCGACTGCGATTATTTTCTCGGCTGCTATCTTCACATTTTTGAGGTGAGAAATCATACACTATCTCAAGCGGTTTACAAATAACCGGGTACTGCTCATCCCTTGTCGACTGCGCGCTTGGACGCACGAGCGTGAGTAAGGGAGGCTTCTCGGCAACTGTGTACGCAAGGTCATGTCGTGCCTCCAAAAGGGGCTGCGCGATAGATGCACTGGACCACCACGGGGTCCAGATAATAGCCCGGCTCGTGCTTTTGGGCCGTACACTCACAACAAGTGTTAGGCATTGGCACGTGACACTTGGGGAGTAGTGGTGCGCTTAGGTGCCGGCCCGCCCCGCGCCGGCTACCTGCGGCTGATCCCGATTCCAGTCTTCTTGACACTATCATGATTCCAAGCTCAGGTTGATGAAAGGAGAATGTGGTAGATGCAATGCGGGACTACTATCACTAGACGAATTCACGCGAGAGTCATCGTATGTCGTGCGGCATACGAGTGCACTGTCGGAACCGACGGTCGAGCTGTCGTCGATTCGCGTTTCGCGGTTTTAATCTAGGTGGCACGACTGCTGAAAATTGTCTGAGATCGCTTTCTTTGTACAGGCTGCCGCGTAAGGTCTGAACAGTACCCGTCACTATCTCAAATCCTGGTTGTGATGTACATTTAGCCTGATGGTCCCACATCTGATCTCGGAAATGGGTGGACTTCAGTCTCAGTATTTAAATTATTTCATAAGGAAAACGCATGCATAGGTTGCTAGTCATGTTGTCTTTTTTCGGGTAGCCGCGAATATAAAACATTCTCGCATCAAAGTTTTCAGGTTGTAATTGTTACCTTAACCAAATTCGCCAGAATGGTTTTTATGATGATTTCGTTCAGCCCCATTAATTAAACCAGCGGATTGTCTACATACTTTGTTTTACAGTCTCAGCGTCCTTGTCTTTTTTATTTAAGGTACTGACGCCACTACTGTAGCGTACAGTTCGGCCGCTGCCCAAAACAATCTAGTAATCGTTGGCTACTGTCGGGCATCTCTGGCAGCACTTGCCGGCGCGACTGCTGGAATCTTGGGCTTGACAGGCAATTTCTTATTCCTTCTGACAACAATTGTTTAAAGGCTTTTTAGGTTTCCTTTTCTATATAGCGGCAAGCGCTATTCTTTCGATTTTATTACTGCGCAAAGCAGGATCTAATTGGCAGAAATATTTTATGCAAAAGTCCGCCCTATTGTATAATATGATATTTGGGGAACTTACAACGTACATTTTATGCTGGACATTTTTGTACGGCATGGTGCATGTTTATTAATGTAACTTTCTTTATTGACTTCGACTTATTTTCGTCAGTTTGCCTTTGGTGTCACACCGTAAAAGGGAATTTAACTAAATCTTTCGAGAGGCTGTAGAATCGCTATTCTCCTAAAGACAGTGATCAAATTTGGCCTCTAGGTTTCACTTCCGAGGTGCTTCTCTGTGACACAGGCACGCAGAACGCATGCAGCATACTATTGACCGTCTTTCCTTTGCACCGGAAGATTTGCTAATTCGAATTAATTGTCACGCTATAATCTCCAAGCCTTACCGCATTTAAATAGCACGGCTTTAGATTTTGCTGGTATCATTACTTTGCAAATTTACATAGAAGTATGCCATACAAATCCACAATTGAGCAGCCTGGCTTACAAGTCTTATCAGATAAAGCAACCAAGCGCGGGAAAACAGCGTCTTCCATCTCTCCATCCCCCGTCCCAAGCCTCCAGGAGTCACCTCGAATCAGTTGAAGATATTGCTAGTCCTCGAAATAAGGGATGGCGTACGCTGCAAAAGCAACACGGTTACCTACATGCCCACTGGAACATTCGGTGGTATTCCTGATTCTCGATCGAAAGGCATGCTGCATGTCGCAGAAATGCTCACTGTCTATAACCCGGATCTCGACAAGGACTCGTGAGTCCCTGACGTCCAAATGCGATTTATCACGATACATCAACCGAGCTCATACCTGCCGACTCAATACTGACTTGTTTTGTGTAGCACTGATGTCGATTTTACCGGCTTCTGCGTCCACGGCATAACGAGCCAGTGTGGTCAATATCCGGCGACTACTAACCAAACCTTTGGTTTCCACCGTCCCTCTGGACTGGGTGAAATCTGCCCACTTCCTTTATTGGGCTATTACAGCGACGGTCACGTTGCAGTGGGTTTGAAGATGACGCCGTAGATGAGCCCCCTGCGGTTCGACAGTGTGCGATGAGGCCTTCAAAGACTGCCACTCTTTCTTTAAACGCCGGCAGGTGTAACCGACCGGCGGACCTCCAAGTCCGAAGTGTGGTTTGTGAGCCGAGGCATGGGCGTCTTCTGGAGGCGTAAGTTGACAAACCCCTCGTTCCCCGGCATAAACAGCGTGTACAGCCAACCCCCGCAGCCGTAAAGTAGAATGCACTTCGCTATAATTCCATATACTCGAACATCTGTTGTCGAACCTATCGTCAATAACATAGGCCCTTCCAGAGTCGGTGGAGTATGCCCTTCGCAAGTCTTGTCAACACCTAATTTCGACTCGTCGGAAGCGGAGTCGCGTTGGCTAGAGTATCAGATCGGATCCGGGACTCTGTGGTAAAGCCGTTAAGCGACACCGCGACTTCCCCAAGGTCAAGTCATATTTGTTACAGAAAGCAACCGTGCGTCGAAAGTCAGACCGTGCTTCCACGAACAAGTTCCCTGGCGCGGCAATATCAAGATCCGGTACGAAACCGCCCTCCTATTCTTCGAGTGTTGTCAACGGCATAGAAACTACCACGGTTAGAACTGCTGCAACCCAATCCTGTCGGGTGTCAACGCTGGCGACAAAGTACTCGCTCTCTTGATCGTACACCCGACATGTTGTTGATAGCGTGCAGTGCTCGCCCGCACAAGTTTCAGGTCACACTAGTCCTCCACGACCCTCAGGGTACAATTATCTGACTGGGCCGAATGTTGCGGCGGCGCCAGGACGGAGTCACTCCTGGTTCCTCGCCGGAGTTAAAATGAGTTCAGGAAATTTCCGTGGCGTCGATCCTGTTAATGGCCATGTAGTTCCAACATTCTTAGCCGTCTTCCTCTAAGAACTGTTATACTGTCCAAGGGTGAGGGAGAATCTATGCGCCGCACCCACTAAAACGCAACCTTAATCTGTCTAGATCTGCCAGTCAGTATTTTTGGAGTAAACGACAGAAACCCTGAAAACTCCATTTAAACGGTACAGAAAATAAACTGCGAAAATTGTGCGTGCAGTGTGCAGAATGCATAAAACTAATAGTGGAACAAAAGTGCGAAAAAGGTATGGCATTTGCGAACTAACTGCGAATTTGGTCACTGCATTCGCACTGAAAAGTTTCATATGGGTCAAGTTTAGTGCACACAATAGAATCTGTTGGACCTATGTTAGTAGTATGTCGACAGTCATTCCAGTAATCCGCAGATCGGGCTTGGACAGTTCGGGTTGCCTTCTGGAGCAGGTGATTATCCAGATTTCTCGTTAACACTCTCACGGTAGGGGAATTAACAGCATACGTCGGCAAAGAATTCCATTGGCGAATGGGTCTCTGCGAGAAGAGGGACGTTGGTCTCCGAGGCAGAGTTCCTTTTTAAGCTGGTAATCGCGTCACAGACAGGACTTTGGTGCCAGTTCAAAAAGAGTTTCCCAGTCGACATCCAGATCAAGTCCTCTTAGCAACTGAAACGTTGCTGAGGTCACCTCTGTCCTGCCTGTAGTGGTGGGGATAGATGCAACATCGGGACAGTTCCAATGAACAGCATACATTGCCTTCGCCCGAAATCGCCTCAGAGACGCAACTCGAGCTGAAGCAACGGGCGATGGCGGTTACTGGGGGCCGGCCACGTCAGGGATCATGTTACACCCCACGACACTGCGGGTTTAGTAACTGTCAAGCGCTCTTTATGGCGGAGCCGAGACCAATTTCGGAGAGAATTGATCACAACGGTCCCCGGTCTCCCTTATGCATTTTTTTGCTCGGAATGCCCCCCATCACAGCTAGAGAGAATACGAAGCGAGTCTGCGTCCTGTGAGGACATGTCAGGCCTCCGCGGCCAACTTGGCTTCGTGTCGAGCCGTGCATTCACCCATCCTGGAGGACCGCCAAGGTTTGCTGACCTTTAAATCTTGCGTGGATGCTGAGTACTTCGGACGTGGTCCTAACCATCTGGGTGAAATCTCAATCGATTGTCTCAGTAACTAATGCACATAATTATCGGTTCCGAATCGAGTCAGCACTTAGGGTGCCGCAGCTCGCGTGGCCAAAGATTTAACATACGGCGCCTGCCCCATAACCACCATTTACCGACCTTTGAACGCCTGATCGACCCACATTTGTCGAGCCAAAATCCCCCAGACACGGTTTTAATCGGTCCCCTCCCAATACTTTCTGGACCTATTCACACAGACAACAACTTGTTTAGTACTTATGCGGATTTGACGCCTAGTCCAACTTTTGCGAAGTGGCCTACCAGACAGCTTATTTTTGTACTGACCTTCTGGTGGGGCCACAGTAAGGATCTAAAATAGTCAAATTCAGTAAAATATTAGATTCGGGTAGAAGTAATCACAATTAGCGAAATCGGTGGGTCAGCGTAAGAACGGACCTTACATAAGTAAAGAAAAGGGGTGAAAGTATGATGTGAAATAATGTTGCAAAATGTGGTTGTCCTCTATGATGTGGCGCAACCAGGGTCTTCGGATTGGGTAGATCCCGGACCTGACCTCTTTCCTGACTGTTCATTCCGGACATGTAAGGTTGGCTGCAACTGGGGCGGTTTCGCATGAGCCGGAGCAGTCTCTGATTTTAAGGTTTGCCAAATTTCTGCACCGCGCTAAAAATTGGAAGAAAATCAGAAAAAATGACTTTCCCGGGGGGTGGAATATGCCCATAATTGATATCAGACCATATGGATTAATGGAGATAGACAGTTGGATGATCGGCGATAAGACACACAAAACCACCAAGACCGGATGGGGCAAAATGTCGGTTAACTCGGACTACATTTTCAAGCCACTTAACTAGTGTAGTGTCACAGACGGCAATGAGTAAACGGCGAACGCAGGAGGTTAGCGAGAAAAAGGTGTAAGGCTGTTAATAAGTCCATAAAGACCACTACACAGACATAACGAGATCAGACAGTCCCGACTGACGGTAATAAAAGATATCCTAACAGTAAACAAAACTACGTAGGCGTAAAAATGGAAACGCGGAAGGGCAGTGTGTGCGCATTGACAATTTAAAGTAGGCAGTCTTTCTAATTAAAATGGACCTAATTGGAACTTACAAGAGAGTTGCGGCTGGGATTAAAGTTGGGGTCGGGGTTAAGTATGAGGTTTGAGAAGGACGTAGGTAGTAGTGTACGACCTCCCAATTTCCGGAAATTATGTTATAATAATTACGCCTGCTGAGCGTATGCGAATTCACTTTGGGGGTAAAAGTGACGAACCAAAGCTTGGAAATTAGCATGCTGCTTTCCCAACGCTTCAGACAAGTCACGCTAGCGCTTGCCGAGTGGTGCGCCGATTGTCAGGTACTTCTTTCCAGGGCCTGTCGACGGTTCCCGTTAGATGGTAGCGTAGTAGGACCTTTCTCTGACGTGCTGGTGGCTGATATAATGACTGGTGCGTCGTCCCAGTCTTCGACTCTACGTTCTCTACTGGATACCGTCAGTTACTGGCGACTCCTCCCCTTCTCTGACAATGATCCAAAAGAGTTACACGTATTTCTGACCGCAAGCATTCACGCATTCTCTTAAAGGAATGGGACCGCATCCGAAGACGGACGGTCAGCAATTAGACCTACACTGGCAAAATAGTCGCTGCTGTGTAGGAGGAACAGTTTTGTATTAGCCTATATACCAATATCAACGACTGAGCCGTCTTATGCTTGCGTCTTATCTCCTGCTCTAAGAGTTCGCATGTCCCCACTCGGTTTGGTTTAGTCCACTGCATTCCTCCTTGCTACCTTCCTGCACCAAATAGTTGCGCATTTGCGTGCATGAGCATCTGTTCAGTTCTTTCTCCTTGCTGACTGCGATTTAGTTAAACTAGTTAAATGGCTTGAAAAAAGCTAGCCAAAACTATTCGAAAGTATGCTTCTTTCTGATTTTAGAGCAGTTTTAAATACATCTGTTATCACAAGGTTGGGTAATTAGGAGGAAGCTCTGCAGAAAATCCGTTCGGTAGGTGGCAGCATACCTTACTAGTTTGAACGGACCCCCACCAACTGCCTCCACGGGAAGACGTGCCCGATGAATTCTCACGTGCGCTCTGCAGCGGAGTCTCCGTTAGATCAGACGGGAGAGTTGCTAATGGCGCAGGTGGTAACTGCAGAACGCAACAAGCATGCTTTAGAGGCAAGGCTAAAATAATAAAGTTGGAAGAAGCGGCACATTACTAGTTTTAAATATGGACTGTAATGGTGAGACAGTAACGGCATTCTCCAAGCCGGCGCTCGGACTCACAGGCAAAACGTGCAACCACCCTCCAAGGGTTCTCGGATGGAGGGAAATCAACCATGCCTCGTCTTGGACGCCGTGGTGAAAGTCGCTCATGTATGATTACGTACTCCCTATGGCTCTTGACGGGAGGCAGAGCCAGGGCTCAGCTGACTGAGCACTTAATTCAAATCCTTGACGGAAAACTGACCCAGATTCTCAGGGCCCGTGGTGCGTCTGGCTAATGATGACACAAACTAGGATTGGCCGGTCAAGTTGTCCTTAGCTAGTAATACATAACGACTCTTTATCGCCCATCATTATGCAAGATTTTGATTCGTGCTGAATACAGTCGTTCGTATTTCGTCTTCCAATCAAGGAACTAATGGCTGAGCTGACAAGAAACCGTCTTTATAGTGGTCTCAGGCCTAATTACGATGAAAATATCTCTTCAACACTGATACGTGATGTAACTTC